CATCGTGTAAACTGCAGCTCCGAGTTGAGCCTCCCAGCTACTTAATGCTTTCTAGGCCCAGCTAAGAGATTAATTCATTTAATACCATCGCAAACCTATCACCAAGCATCACTGGAATAGGAAAGAGTCTGGAAGAAAGTTATCCTTATATGGAGAAAAAAAAAACAGAAAGCAAAAGAAAGTCTTCAGAGCTCTGCATAGAAATGAGGAGCCACTGAGCTACTGTACGTGCCTGCTCCAATTTATTTTTGTCGTGATTGCAACAGCTCTTTTTCCTAGCGTTTCTCTGCAATCACCTTACTCGTCCCAAATGCAATTTCTCACTGCTTTGCAATACCAGTCACACCTGCCATCCCACCCAGAACCGAGAAACTTTGCATAGCTGTTTATTACTGCACTGCTAATGCCAACTCCATTTATTCTTCTCTAATACCGACAGCTACTTGTGCGTGCTCAGCTTTCAGCTGTTACGGATTTGTCATCAGGATGATGCGCTCCAGGTTTGCTGACTGGAGCAAAACTAAAGCGAGGAATGCCAGAAGATTATCTATGAGGCACAGTTTAGATTCAACGCAGAGAGAGATCAAAGCACCTACAGTCAGTGAAAAATTAACTAGTCCACAATACAGGCTGAGTTGTGACAAAGTGTACTGGATCACATACTTCATACAATTTTCACACCTTGTGTTAATGTTGTTGTGGGACTTCTGAATGTGGAAGTCTCATTTTCCATTGTGTTTTCTGTCCTTACGCCGCACTCCCTCGCAACATAGTAGCAAATTCCTCCAAACTGATTTTTTAAAAGAGCACAATAACGTAAAGGTATGACAAATCCCCACCATTCAAGCTGGAATGCTGCAATTTTTCTTGTGATTATGGGCTCTGACAATCATGGGATCTCTAACCACTGCAATAAAGCGACCGCTATATCAGTAATAAACGTACACACAGAAGCCCTGAAGGCCCTGTTCTCCGCAGAAAGCAGGTGTGCATCCCAAAACGTACGCTCTTAGCTCTTCCTTACCCGAGCAGGAGATAAACTGATGGCTCCAGCTTTGCTCGCGCACTTGTTTCCGTTCTAAATAAAGAACGGTCCAACCTCACAAGTTCCCAAATAGTTCATACCTTCATCACAAGCGTTTTTACACTTACAGAAACACACGCTTCCCTCTGACAGCTATCAAAACATGCTAAATTTGACATTCAAAGGAAGAAAAAAGAAAGTCTTATTTTGCATTCTCCAATGCATAGAGTTCATTTTGCAAAATGGATTTTCTTCCACAAACATGTATATAAATATATATATATATATACACACACACACACACAAAGGGATTGCAATGATTCCCTCCAGTCTTGTATAAAGCACTTACATTAAAAACAAATTTCACTTGTTTTCAGCTCACAGACAAATAAAGATCACTTTAAAAAGAAAGCATGAAACGTGCATGCGCACAAAGAACAGCAGTACAGATATTTCATTCCAGCTGCAGGGTTTCATCCACACTTACACCATAAAAGGGAGTCTGCTACTCATCTCTACTATTTCTAGTCCCCAAATTCATGCCACAAACTCAAAAATTGCAAAGTTTTAAATGCGGTTTTTCTGGCTTATGCCAGAAAATTTAGCAGCAGCATTAAATATACTGATTTTAGTATTAAAAAAAGGAATGATTTAACATCTCTCATGCCTTGTTAATCCGACTGTATCTATTAAAGATTGCTGCAAGAGGTCTGAGGCCAGCGAGGAGGGCAAGTCAGCACTGGAGAGCCATGGCCTGGGTTTTGGAGAACCTCACTCTGACGGCTGTGCCATTTCTTCTGTCGAGCAGAGCTTCCCCTTTCCAAAGCCTTCACAGCCCAGCTCAGTTCATCTGCAAAACCACATTAGAGCTTCCACTCTGGAAGGAAGACCCCCCCAAAGTCATATTTTTATTTCCCAGAACAATAATTTCTTTAAAGGGCTCTTCAGCTTCTACAAAGTTAGGCCTGTTAAAACTTTTTTGCTTCACTGACATCTTGGCTATTGAAACACGTGAAAAAAAGGGAGAAAAAAATATATGCAAAACTAAAAAAAAGGGGAGGAGAGGAGAAGCCTTCTGTATAAATGCCTATTAATGCTTCCTGATATCCAAACTTAACTCAAGAAAGTTAATGTATTACTAGCAATACATTACTATATAATGTACTATATACATAATACTAGTAATAATAGGCAAAGAAATGCAGCTAGAATGTCCTTATTTAATAAAAGATTTCCTATTGTAGCAGTAAAGATCAGTATTGTGTCTTCCCTCTTGAAATATTAATTTACCATTAGATTCTAAAGTTTACTGAATCTGATTTAATTTGAATATGCTGAATGTAATCTCCTTTTTACAAGGCCATAATAAAGATATAATCCAGACACAGCCCATAGACTGTTTAGGCACAAATGCATTTCTCTCTGCTGGCACTAGGCAATATTGTCTTTTTTTTAAATTTAAGAAGTCAATGACTGGATTTGTTAATAAATAAACTCTAGACAAAAGGATAGCGGCTTCCAGCAAGAACAGAAAAGCATGTCAGGCAAAGTGAGACCATCACAGGATCCAAGACAGTTAGCAACAGTCAAATGGAAATAAAACTGGTGAAACTGCAGGTGAACGGGAGCTGCCAACCCACATGCAGGAAGATTAAAATCCACTTGAGTTAGTTTAAGAGTGGGAACTAACGGAGCAAAGGATGAAAACAAAACACCAACGCATCAGTTTTGGAAACAGAAATAACGGGCACTTAAAGACAACAGATACCACTGTCGACGGGAATCTTCGTATGAAAAAGTCCCTTTTCTTTTAAAGCAGAACTTCACCTGGAGCTGAGAACTCTTGCGCTCGGGGCAGTGAGTTTCCTGCAGCAGACGGAGGCCCCGGCTTAGGTCAGAAGACACACGCGCATTTCTCTCGGGCGCCGAGAGGCTTCAAAGAGGACGCGTGTCCCTTACTGCCAGACGCGTGAACTGGTGACTTGTGTATGTCCATTAACGGGCAAAAAAAAAAAAAAAATCTCAGGAGCCTCCTCACAAATAAGTTATAACTCTCTTTTAAAGCTAGAGGTATTTGTTAATAATTAAATTAGTATTATAGACCGTGCTACAAATGATATTGAGAATCCTAAGATGTCCCTCTCTCCCTTAATACGAGAGTGAGCGCCACAGAGCGAAACACCGCAAAGGACGATCCCGAGCGCGAGAAGCGTATCGACTCGTGCCAGCACGGCACGCACCGCGGGGTCACTCCCGCCGCGCAGCAAGGCGCTCTCCCACCAAGCAGAAAGCACAGCACAACCGCCTTCTCGTTCTGCTTTGCCTTTACACCTTCTCTCATGGGATTTTAGTAATTATTTAGATAGCACCACAGGTGGTGACACTGTCATGGGATCCCCGAAAACCGCGTTTGGGCAGAGGGATGTGGAAGGAAGGTGTCACCGGCATTAAAACCCTTCTGGTGCGGACACGTACCGCATTTCATCTCTCCAAACGGCTGCTCTCTACCAGCTTTGCACTGGCTTGTTTCAATAATCAGTTCCACAGCAAACACCAGCAGGGCAAAACCCTCCCAGAGGGAACGGCCAAAAACCAGATGCCGCGAAAAATCCTTCCCTCCCCTACTTCAGCCTCACCTGCTCCCCCTCTCTCCCCAAGAACAGCACAAAGCGCAAACACCTTGCAGCACAGCCTGAAAATTAAAAGGATGGGGCTGAACGGATGCAATTTCACAGCTGCAGACTTCTGGAAATTAAGTCAGGGGAATGCTGCAGACAGCAGTCGGACCGTCTGCCTGCCCCAGCGCTGCGCAAGGAGACGGCCGCCCTCCCAGCTACTCAGAATTCAGCTCTGACCTCGACAGCGATAACAGCAACCCAATCATCTTCAAATTGCACCTGGAAACGATCTGGTTTAAATTGCTCTCTTCCAAAACACCCGCGGCAGCATTTTGCAAGAGAAGGTACTTTTCATTTAGCATTTATTTTCAACCACAAAACACAGTATAATCAAACATACAATTCTTGATACCAAACCCAGAACGCAGATAATCTGAGTTCCTGTTGGACAGCGGATCACCGATGATCCACCCGCCACTGCAGAAAGACACTGCCTATCTGCAGGCAGGCACAGTCCAAAGTCAGTTCTGCTGAGGGTAATGCCTGTTGTTAATTACTGATGCTGTCTTTAAATGAATTGGCTTCCAAGTTTTTTTTTTTCCCCCCCAAACTAAAAACAGTAGGAATAAAGTTGTTCTTAATTCCCCCCTGCCCCCAAAAACGTGACTGGTCTTGCAATAGAAAAGGCTGAGAAACACTGCTCCCGGCTCACTGCTTACCTGCCAGACCGATGAGTTGAGGCCGAGCGCTTTCTTCCTAGGCACAACGCCCAAAAGTAATTCCAGTTTCAAGTGATCTATGTATTAGAAAACCCTTAAACCAGCCCTAAGGAAAGGCTTTCTTAGCTATAAACTGACAGACAGCAGCATGTTAATCCTGTCAACCCTACTGACAGGAGCTATGGACTTAAAAGCAAGTTATCATGGTTCATCATGTTACTGCAAGTCAGCAGAGCTGGGGTAATCACCCGTCCTCACGGCCAGCCTGCAGCAACTACAGCTAACGAGCCCCACCTGGAGCAGCAAAGGACTCCCAGGTCCAAAGGCCTGACGTAAATTGCTTTATCTTGCACTCGCTGCAGTCTAAGCGTGCCCACGGTTATCTTTGCTCTTTACACACAGCAGCCAGCTAAGCTGACGTAACTTGATCGCCGCTGTGAGCCCTAGAGCTTCCGAGGAAGTCCCTTTGCGCAGCTGAACTCCAGACGACTCTGTTGAGTCAAAAAAAACCTCCAAAATGCTACAATCTTCCACTGTTGCTGCTGACACCAAGTCCCACTACATCAGCTAGCTCACTAGGTTAATAAAGGACAGGATTTGGTCCGCCTCAATGCGAGCAAACCGAGACGCTTATCTTACCTGCTCGGGGCTCGATAGTCTTGTTGGAGCCTGCATCCATAAACACAAACCGTCCACCGCCAAAATCTTCGCTGTAGTCAGAGAGATAGAGCAGGGAAGTATAATCAAAAGAGCCGTAAGTTACCTAGGAGTAAGTTAACATCAGAATTACCAAATTCTACTCTCTCATCTCTGCAGAACACAGATAATTAAGCGCATGGATCTGACAGGCTCTTCTAATTTCTCAGTCTTCACATATTTAATAAAGGGTCTCTAAAAGCTGAGAAAGAAACCATTCTTTTATAGAAACTACATACATTTCTATTAGTCTAGTCTATTAGCCTAGTCTGTTATGTTGGTATACGTACACACACACACTAGATAGCATATACTAGTCTGTTATTATATGGATTTGTATTATTTCTATTATTAAAATATCCATTATTACAGAACTGACCTAATGATCTCTGTCAGGCTAAGCCTACTGAACAGCTAGCCAAAAAGCAACGTAGCATGAGTAACTGCACCTCTGCGTCACATTAAAAATATTTAAGGGCTCAGCTCTATATATATATCAAGACAAAAAACTCATCATATTGCTGATGATGAGATCCAAGAGCAAATCTCTGAGTGATTAATTCTACCTCTTATCTCACTGCAGTCAGAGGTCTCTGCAAACTCCACCTGATACGCTCTCAACCTCTCTTTCCTCCGCTAGCATGCGGGAACTTCAGCACACCAGGGAATCAGATCTTCTAGACAGACAAACAATTGTTGGAGGAACTCCTACTCTCTTCAGTAGATGTTTTGGGTGACAAAAAAATCTTCAAAAGTGGCTTTCTGTAAGTCTATTTTATCTCAGCCTACAGGCCATCAAACACCCCATTTTTAAGGGTAACATGCCAATTTTCCTTCCTTTTAAAATATTATTGATTTTGCTGTGCGTGTTGAAGATGGAGAAAAGAAATCTTACATACTACTGCTCAGACAGAATTTATCTAAACATTGCAGAGTTCAGCTGGATTCTGAAAATACTTCCTTTCCATATCTACCTAAAAGATGCTTCTGATAGAGCATTCAAATGGCTGTATTCTCCAATTTCTTTATAGCATATCACAACTTGATTGAGTTCTGCATTACACTGTCAAAGAGAAAAATGTGCAACAAAGTGGTATTGTATAAATATACAGCATTTATTGTATAAATACACAGCATTTGCAGAGTGTTTCATCTGACCCAGTGACCAAGGTAGGTGCTACTTCCAAACTCAGAAGTTCTCTAAAAATTTTTAAGTTACATTCATTAGTGCCAGTTAAATTTGGGCTCAACAGCAGCTGTACATACTATTCTGTATGGGCAACGACTGAAGAGAACACAGCAACAGATGGAATAGGAAGACATTTTCCTTCTTACTCATTTTGTTATTTTGACCATAAGGGCTTAAAGAAAAAAAGCCAAATCCAACGACATGCTACACTGCAAAGTTCAAATCACAAAAAATGAGAAAAAATGTTTTAGCGATCCTCTTCTCCCCACATTTACCCAAACCTTAGTGCCAATACAAGACTATAAATGGGAATTACTGAGCACGTGCCATTGCAACACCTCAAAGCAGCCATCCTGCAGCTCTCCTACTGCAACCACCTTTGCAGAGCTATTTTCATCTTCATTGCATTGGTGACAAATCCTCCAGTTAGGTTAAGGGAGGCTGCTGGCATGTGAAGCACTACCATGGTGCGGAAGTTCAAGGAGATGTGCACCAACTCATACTTCCAAGTCGGCTGCATTACAATCGTTTTTAGGGAATGCCTTCAGTGGTGCAGCAAGTTTTGCTCCACCAGTGCATTTTCCATCCTTCCCAGGATAGCCCTATCAATTCCAAACTTTTAAGAGCTGACTGCAAACCATGTTGGCCTCGTCAAACACATCTGATAATTTCTATAGAAGACTAATTTAGGGAGTCAAGTATGCAAAGGAAAAACGGCCTTTCTGCTCCTGTTCTTGTTGACTGCTAGCTCTCAGAAGTAGGCCAGGCCAGAGAAATGCAGCACTATGGAAAGCAGGCACTAAATCATACCTAGTTTTTGAAGTCTCTAACTTCAAAACCGCCACAAGCCCTCTGCGAATATCAAATGCATTATCATCTTGTTAATAATTTCCAGTACCAGAAAGATTAATACCTGAACCCGACGTTCAAACTATGTGAGAAGAGCTCCCATTAAAACCAGGTGATAAGCCACAGGGGCACATCGCAGACACGTTCAGTTTCTATAGCTCCTTATGAACAACTCAATAGGAATGATGCAGCCATTTCTGTTCAGTCTGATAACTCAGAGAGCGCAGCTTAAATTCACTAGTACATTCTTCTGAATACCCTTCACGCAAATAAGTCACACACAAGCACCTACCGTTAAATAACTATAATGTTGCTTTTATGACACTTCTTTTAAGGATATTATTATAAATACAGCTGATTATCAGAATTAAACAGCCACATTTTGCAGTGCGATAGCCTTGGGTTATTTGGGGACACATTTATTCCTTGATTTCCCAGCTGAATAGTTGTAGTAACATGCAACAGGCCTGCAG